ATCGTCGAGCGCAAAATAGCTGTCTGCATATCCTTTTTTGACATACAGTGCTTTCAGTGCCTTACAAGTGACCGTCTCCTATCCCTTTGTAGCCTCTCTTCTCACTGCCTCCCTCCACTCGAGGTCATTTGCAGAGGCACGAACGCGAGAGTACCAATGCTTCCCGCAGACTCCATTTCCAACCACCCTTTATCCCTCCTTTCATGAAAACTATTTTTGCCGACAAAAAAAGGCTACTACTCCAAATCTTTGGCCTTCTTGAGTCTTCCGGTTAACCCTGCGTCTTCGTACACGCACACACACTTAGCTCATAAAATCTTAAGTCTGTCGAATGTTTTGTTTAAAAGAAGAGGGACTTCGTTTAAACCCTTTTTATTGTGAACTCATCCAATGAACACAGGGGATAACGAGAGGAGGAAGAGAAGAAAAAAACAGTTTCTAGGGGGAAAATGTCAACAAACAGGTGAACAGTCATGTCAGCAGTACTAAATACTCACTCAATTTTGTGAGGCAGGAGGACGAACAGGTGGGAAGCGTCAATAAATAACCTCAAAGAACGAATAGTAGTCAGAGAATAAATTTCGTTGCGCCTGGATCTCCGAAAGTGGTGGATGGGCTGATGGAAGTAGGCGAGAGAAAAACGAAGAGAAGAAAGTGCCCCTTCTTTTTTGCAGACTCAATGCGAGTCATTGATGTGACGGATAGCGCCGAACGAGGTCATACCAGACTGAGTAGCAACCTGTTTCGCCCCTGGGCCCATCTGCAGACCTAAGTGTGAAGCGCCTTCAGCGGACATGGCACCGACACGAATGTCCGCGATGTGACGAACCGCACCGATCGACGTCATACCCGATTGGGTGGCAAATTTGTTTGTACCGTACTGCAGAGTGATGGTCGATTGGCCCTCGCGGGACATGTTGTCGCAGCGGATGTCTGCGCCGTGACGCACTCCACCCATCGACATACCCTATGGAATGAAATGGTTGAGTGGGTCGATAGACGAGTAGATTAGTATAACAAAACGACTGGTAAGGGGAGGAATAGGTGGATCTTAAAAGTCCACCTTAGTGTGCAAGTATGCCTTTAAATGATCCCCCAGAAAGGCTCAGGGATAGCCGAAGAACTTAAAGATGACGCAAGTGGAGATACACATGAGTCTGACTGGGTGAGAGAGACCAGGAACAAAAGTCGAGACATACCTTTTGAGACGCACATTGATTGGTGCCCATTTGGAGAGTGATGACGCCCTGGCCTTCCTTCGTAACATCATCACAACGAATGTCCGCCACGTGGCGCACCGAACCGAACGACATACCCTTCTGTGAAGCAAACTTATTGGTTCCCATTTGGAGACTGCAGATGCCCTGACCTACAAGTGCAGACAAAGGAAGACACATCGGACTAAGTAGATTAAACACATATCCGCATAGCAAATCTGTTCATTTCTCCAACTTTGATAGAATGCAAAAGTTTGAAATATCAGAACTGTAAATCACTTCAGCTCCCTTAAAAAATTAGGTTGCAAGGTAGACATACTTTCGAGGCTAATGTCATCAGCCTTGATATCGGCAGCATGACGAACGCCACCAAAGGTCATGCCTTTCTGTGAGGCAAACTTGTTGGTTCCCGACTGGAGGCAGACCATTCCCTCACTAGCACGCAGTTGTTGTTCTGTCCACTGACGATACTGTTTATTCGTGGGTCTTGGTCCGCATGTTGGGCCTTGGAAACCGTTCCTCTGACACTAAAAAAAAACAAAAACTTCACTGTATTTCCGCCATCCTAAATTTAGAGCCCTAGGTCAAAAACTTTGACAGTGATGACCCATTTGACACTTACCTCCGTGCCCAGCTGCATGAGAGTATTGATAACTTGTGACATG